CCTGCCACTCAATGAGCTCATAATTGATCTGAATCTTCAATTCCACTTTCTTGTCTTTTCCCCACAACCCTCAGTTCCCTTACTGATTAAAACTATGTCTATCTGAGCTTTCAATACTGGTATTGCTGCTATAACATGTGTTTTGTTAATGCGAGAGAGAGTGGGAACTGCCGATGCTGGAGAATCTGAGATAACAAGGTGTAGAGCTGGAAAAGCGTCTGATGTATAGTGGACGCTGTTTGGATAACGCAAACATTCTACTGTACCATATAGCCATTTCCTACAGCGATTTCCCTATATCGCAATTTTCTATGGCGATTTTCTATAGTGTGAGGTCGCACAAGAACACAACTATCGTGTTATAGGACAAATACCTGTATACTTAATGACTCAACCTCCAGCAGTCCTCTAAGGTAAAGGCTTCCACAGATTCACTACCCTCTGAGAGAAGAAATTTATTATCCCTGTCCTAACTGGATGACTCTTTACTCTAAAATTATGGCCTCTGGTCTTAGACTCTCGCACAAGAGGAAACAATTTTTTGCATCTACCCTGTCAAGTCCACTAAGAATTGTGTATGTTTCAACAGGTCACCTCTCATACTTCTAAATTTCAATGAGTACAGGCCCAACCTACTCAACATCTCCTCATAAGACAATCTTTCCCATACTTGGGATTAACCTAGTGAATCCTCTCCGGACTTGCTCCAATGCCAATATATCTGTTCTTAGACGAGGAGACCAAAATTGTTCACAGTATTTCAGATGTGATCTAACAGGACCGTTGCATAGTTTTAGCAAAACATGTCTATTTTTATAATCTACTTTGAAATGCTGAACTTATATACCAGCTTTTTGCGATAAATACATGAGGACTCCCAAATCCCTCAGTGCTGTAGTTTTCTGCAGTTTCTCCATTAAACAATATTATAATAATACCCCTTATTTTTCCTGTTAAAGTGAGTATCTTCACATTTTCCTGCATTATATTCCATCTACCAAGTTTTTGTCCACTTATTTGACCTGTCTATTATCCCTTTTCAGACACATTCACCTTCCTCATCCAAGTTATTAGTATACATTGCAAATAATTATGGTCCCAGCACTGCTCCCTATGGCATTCCACTAGTTACAGCTCGTCATCCTGAAAATATGCTTCTTATTCCAACTGTCTGTCTTCCATTAGTTCGATGAAATATCCTGGTAATAGCCAGGATACATTAATAATGGAGAAGACACAGGTTCCTTCCACCTTCCAAGTTCTTTGGGCCATACAAGGATGGCTGCTGAGAAATAAGAGTAATGTCCTCCATACATGGCAAATGACACCTTTACATCTTAGACTGATGCAGAATGAAAGTACAAAGCTGCCCACTCTTCCAGCAGACCCAAAGTGGAACAGAGCAGCCAGCTACTTAACAAGCCCTGAAAGAGCACATTTCATCTGTACTCTTCACAACTGGAGCCAAAAAAATGGGACATGTCCTGGATGCAGAGTAAGTGGGGTAATCAAGAGTAATCCAATAAGGTTGGAAATCAGGACATTGATTGGGAGGGGTATCCAAGTGACCATGATAGAGCTGTGCACCACTGAGTGTGCAAGGCCAGACAGTACTGCTTCCAGGACGAAGGAGATAGGTTTGGACTTCCTTGCATTACTGTTTGTTGATTATATGGTAAACAGCCCTTAGTTAGTCCACAGCACATATACATCCAACTATTTCTATACTTCTGCCTAGTTAAATTTTTTTAAAAAATCTATATGATTGTATGCATTGTATCTTCAGCTGATCCCAACAAAGAATCAGCACTTTAGAGGCCTACACTACCATTCAGGAGAAAGCAACAGTTAGTGAGACAGGGCACTTAACATGGTACGGTGCAAGGTTAGGCACCTTTTAGGGCTTCAAGTCACCATATGATATCCAAGTGTTGTGCAGTGAAGGCCCTTGTGATATCTAGCAGGCCTGGAGCAATCCTGAAGCATTTCCTTTCTACCATCAATCCACCAGCATCTCTAGGTGTCTGTCAGCAAAACAGGGTGCTAGCTTCCCTTTCTGTGACATTTGCTGGTTCCCAGCAGCACATGGTCACAATGTAAGGGCCAGTGCTTGACTTGCAGACCCTGAGGTGCTGTGGAGCTGGGGTTTAAATATGACCAGTGGTGTGAATGTCACGTGGTCCTGACAGCAGCAAGCACCCCTATTGCACGATTGCATAATTAGCCAGCTGAAGAGCAGAGAGCTGCATGGGACAAGTCAGCATGTGTCAATGTGGACTACAATCCTTGCACCCATTTTCAATCTCACTGGAAAAATGCTTCGCTGAAAAGTTGGAAAATTCAGCCTCAACTCTTGTGAGCTGTAAAGAACCAGCTGGCTTATTTCTTCCACCAAACATATACAGTGGAGTATATATTTATTGAATTAATAATATCACCTCACTTTTAAATTCTAATTCTGTTGAAACCAACCCAGGAATGCGACAAAAAAAGGAGTCAATTCACTCTCCCATGTTGGCCATAACAACATAAATACAACCAATAGAGGTGATGTACAGAATAAGGAAAATTTTCCATCCACTATAAGCACGGTATCACTATTACTAAAAAATAACATGTTCACATTGATTATAATTAGTTTTATGGTTTCAGAAATAATATTCCATTGAGATACAAGACAATTCATCTCAGAAATATTGTTCAGTCACACAAGAGGAAATAAGAAAACTATGATGGGGATCTTGTGCTTGATCAGCTTGAATTTTAGGCTAAATTTTACAAACTCCCAAAGGTGTAAACTCTTGCTCTGCTCAAAAATAGTTACGTGCAATTATTCTTGCAAATGCTTTCATTGATTATTTAAGATACTAAATTACATTAACCAAGAGGAAAAAACAGTGGTGAATTCTGAAAAATATTTTTGCTTTTTTCTGCTCAGCATCTATAATATTTTGTTTCAGTTTGTCTGGATTTGAAATCAGCTTTAGACATTAAAAATATCCCTGTGGCAGGCAGGGATTCCAATTCACTATAGAGGGCTCCCCTGCCCACCCACACCCACCTCCCCCCACAAATCCCATCACCACCAATAAGAAGATTTTGACCGGGTCAACATATTATTTGTTGAATCACTTATTCAACATTGTCTTTGTGGCAAACAAATTACAGTGTGAAATGGATCTTGCTAATACAGTTCTTTTGCTCATAAAATTTTATTTTATTAGATTGAAAAGTGCTGTCCATTTATGGAACAAACCAAGTCCTTCATGCGTGGACCTCTATCAAGTAATAGTAATGAGTGAACCTGGTTATGTCACTGAACTTGAGTGTTAATACATCAGAGACTGGCTAGCATGCTGCAAGCACTCCTGCTTACATATTTCCACTACACTGAAAGCAGATGTTTGGCACATACTGGTGAGGGAGCTATGGGAGTTAGGATGACTATTCTTGGCAAACATTACCTGAGAGTCAGGTATGAGCACATATGGTCATGCATCAAGAGCTCACAGAACTAAGTAACCATTGCTGAAGCTTAGTGTACCAGCTGGCATAATATGGGGGTAGATATCTATACGGTGCCAGGGGAATAAGGGCAATATATTCACAGTTTATTGATTGATTGTGCTGCACACTGTCCTGTCCATGAGGACCTCCTGCTATCAACTTACATTGGCAGAAGGCCCAATTAATTTCTGTGATCAAACATCATTTAAACATGAATGGCAACATGTCTGTGCTAATCAAACTACTTAAGGCAACCCATTGTAAGGGTAAATCCAGTGCACTTGTTGCTTCTTAAAGCCAGTCTTTAAGTAGAGGTAAAGTTAGACTGTTGGTGTATCAGCACCTCATTTTTGGAGTTGCAGGCACAATACCAATGATCAGGGTATCCTAGTTTTCTGATACTCTAGTGGAAGTGCTGTTGTAGAAATCAGGGACAGGAAGGAGGTTTTGTTTCCTGCTGGGTGACATAACAAATAAGTTGTCACGTGGCGAATAGATTAGTGCTAGCATCATATGCAGAATCTGGTTGCTGAACCAGGAAATGTTTAATGGCCTCACTAGTACTGCAAAGATTAAACTCTTCTTCATAGCTCTCTTACAATGAATACAGTATGGTAACATCAAATTTTACCCTGGAACTGGACACATTAGCAATTTTCAAAGGAAATAGCTTCATTTCCAGGAGCCACTACAAGCAAGAAACTACCATTTCTGCATCATAACCTTACTAAAGATCCAAATTGTCTGTAAAATTTTACATTGATGTTAATTAGAGCAGGAGAATACACTTTTAAATACCACTGAAGCTGGTCATTTCCTTGTCTTTACAAACAGTTACTTGTTCTGAGTGTTTTAAGGAGTGATTGCTGCACAGGTTCAAATGAAAATGCTATTTTCATGGTAATTGCATCATTGGACTCTAATTCAAACATATTTGTTGTGCTCCTGCCCGTCTCTGGTGGCAGCACTAACTCATGGTCGGCTTGAAAACTGAAAATCAGGATTCTCCCAGTGACATGGTAATTTTCTTTTCAATTTTTATTCCACTACCATCTGGTTTGAAATACAAAGTCAGGTGGCAATCAAATATATTACATTGTAAGATTCAGAAAGTTGAACACCCATCCCAAATGTTCAAGCAATGATTCAGGCATTTGCTTGCTAGATAATTAACTTACAAAACTAGTATCAACATTGTCATTGAGAAATTATCAGTCGGCACATTATCCCAAGGTACTTTATCTGTTTGTTATTTAAGAAATATATTCCTTTCTCTGAAACGCTGTATTAGATCAATCATGTTTAGATACAAATGTATTGTTGAAAGGCATGGGGAATTAGCATCGTTGTACAAGTTTTTTTTCATTCAAACAATTTCTTTTCATAATTAATTTTTTTAGTATTGTTTCTTCAAGGTACTATTGATACCGAATACAAGCATACTGCTTCACGAACAGTACAATCATTACCTAATCCAGAATAGCCACACTCACCACTTTAGCTGGGCTTGGTTTATGCAGGTCTGTACTGTCTTCGAAGCCTGATGTTGTGCTTAAATCTCCAGTCTTCTTGTTGCTGGAACAATTTCTGTTTAAGTAAGATTGTGGTTGAATCACACTTTCATTTAGAGCCTCATTTTCATCCTGTACATTTCAAAGGTCATTTTGGCAAAAGTTACTCTGTACAAAGGCAAGACATGTACAGAAACAAAGACTGACTTTTCTCAAATCTTAAAAGTCTTCGTTAAAATTGTGCTTTATAAAACTGTGTTGTGTCACGCAAAGTAAGTACTGTTTTCACGGAACCATTAGCCTTTCGTCTGCTTTTCTGGCATTACCACTTTCCGAATGCTGATTGTAACATTTTATAGTATTATTTCTTTGTTGTATTCAAAAGAGCTCATTAAGCCATAAGTCATAACCACTCAGTCTTTATGGCACAGTAGGAGGTCATTCAAACCATTCAGTCTTGGTCAACTCGTTTAGATCAATCTAAACGGTCCCATTTCTCTCTTCCAGCCCCCAAAACCGGAAAGTTAATCATGTTTATATCCATCCCATTTCACCATAAAATCAGTTATCATCTCCCCTCCATCACTTTTGTATGCAACGAGTTCCATGTCATTATCAATCATGGCATAGAAAAGTAATTCCTCAGAACCCACTCTGTATCTCTTGGCCAAAACTTTAAATCTGTGTCTCCTGGTCCTTGTACCATCAACTCTTGGGACTGCTTTTCTTTATCTACTTTTTGCTTTTCTTTATCTACTTTTTCTAAACTTACCATTATCTTGTATATCTCTGTTAAATCTACCCTCAATATCCTTTAAGGCAAAGACGGCAACCCAAGCTTCCTTAACCTAAATTTGTAGCAAAAATCTTTCATCCCTGGAATCATTCTGATAACTCTCTTCTATATTTCAGAGGACACTCATGTAGCTGTAAATGTATTAAACGGAAGGGAGGCCGGAAGTCAACTAAATTACAATCGCGAGGGACATAGTTCTGAGAAAGCTGTTGGATCTACTGGCTCACATGTCCCTGGGTCCTGATGGACTTCATCCCAGACTTTTAAAAGAAATGACTAGTGTGATAAGTGATGCATTAGTTTTAATTTTCCAAAAGTCCCTAGATTCGTGGAAGGATCTATTTGATTGGAAACTGACAAATGTAATTCCTTTATTCAAAAAGGGTGGGAAACAGAAAGCAACAAAGACCAGTTAGCTTAACATCTGTCATAGGGAGAATGCTAGAAGCTAGGATTAAAGATGTTACAGCAGGGCACTTAGAGAAGTTCAAGGCAGTCAAGCTGAGTCAATATGGTTTGGTGAAAATGAAATTCTGTTTAATCAATTTTTTGAGTTATTTGAGTTAATAACATGTACTGTGGATAAAAGTGAACCAGTGGATGTGTTGTGTTTAGTTTTCTAGAAGCCATTTGATAAGATGCTGTATCAAAGGCAATGTTAGAAAATAAAACTCATGGTGTAGGATGTAACATAATGGCATGGAAAGAAGATAGGTAACGGGAAAGAGGCAAAAAAAAGGGTCATTTTCTGATTGGCAAGTTGTAACATAATGAAGTGGAACGTAGTGGAGTTAGGTTCAATCAAGGCATTTGAGAAAGCATTAGATGATTTGGATAGAAAAAAAATTGGAGAATTATGGGGAAAAGGCGAAAGAATGGCACTAAGTCATAATGTTCATTTGGAGCACCAATGCAGGCACGATGGCCAAATGACCTCTATCATAATAATTCTGCGATTCTGCAATTAGTGGTGTACTACAGGAATCAGTGCTGAGGCTTCAACTTTTTACAATTGAAATATTGCTTTAAATTACTTGGTTGAAGGGACTGATGAAACAAAGATAGGTAGGAAATTAAGATGTGAAGAGGGCACAAGGAGAGCACAAAGGGATAGTTTAATTGAGGTCAAAAGTCACATGGCACCAGGTTATGGTCCAATAAGTTTATGTGAAATCACAAGCTTTTGCAGCACTGCCTCTTTGTCAGGTAAAGTCATGGGGGGAGGGGGGTGGGCAGTGGTCTGATGTACCACAGCGAAACACCACAATGACCTCCTCAGAAGACAGACACAGGATAAGATAAATAGAGTGCCCTTTGTCATCCAGTACTTCCCTGGAGTGGAGAAACTACGCCATGATCTTGGGCAACCTTCAATGTATCATCAATGACGATGAGCATCTCGCCACGATCTTCCCTACGCCTCCACTTCTCACCTTCAAACAACTGCCAAACCTTAAACAGACTGCTGTTCACAGCAAACTACCCAGTTTTCAGGACAACATTGAACAGAACACCACACAATCCTGCCATGCCAAGACATGTCAGAACATCGATTTCAATACTACCATCACACGTGGGAACACCACCCACCGCATTCACGGCAGATACTCATGTGACTCAGCCAATGTTGGCTATCTCATATGCTGCTGCAAAGGATGCCATGATGCATGGTATATTGGCGAGACCATGCAGCCGCTACTACAACAGATGAATGGACACCATGCAGCAATCGCCAGACAGGAATGTTCCCTCCCATTCGGGGGACACTTCAGTGGTCAAAGGCATTCAACCTCTGATCTTCGGTTAAGCATCTTCCAAGGCAGACCCCAAGATACACAACAATGCAAAATTGCCAAGCAGAGACTGATAGCCAAGTTTCGTAACCATGAAAGTTGGCCTCAACCGTGATATTGGGTTCATCTTGTGCTACAGGTGACCACCACACTGTTCTGTATCTGTAAACTCTTCCTTACTTTCCTGTTTTGACAGCATCACCTTGCTAAATTGTTATGATCTCTCTACCTGAATTAGTTAGTACACTTTTGAATTACTTATTATATTCGCTCTCTCTCTCACACACACACACACAATCTATGGGGTGAATCATTTCATCCAAAGTTTTTGGTTGTTTGCAGATATACTCTATTTTGTTCTAAAAACACACAGTTTGTAGTCACAGTCAGTCATTATGGCGTCTTATAAATACCAGCCTGATTCCAGGCTAAAGCTCTGAGACAGATTATGAACAAAGGCTCATACCTACAATTCAGCGTTTGACCTGAGATGTCACCTTTTGTATATTCCTATGGCTCTGCCTGATTGTCATGACAGCATGACATTGACTTTATAAACACCTTTACACACCATCTAACACACTTAGTCACCTGCAGTGACTTATTATCTGACACTCCACTCACACCAGTTGTATGATATTTTGATCTCTTTGACCTTGATCTCACTGCCTATAAACGCTGTGTCTGTGCACTGTGCTCTCTAATTGTCTCTGATGAAGAGGCTGTGCTCCTAAAGCTTATGTGATTCCAAATAAACCTGTTGGGCTATAACCTGGTGTCATGTGATTTCTGACTTAACCCTCAGTAGAGTGTACTGTTTGCATGTAGGTTTCTATACTCAGACTGAGCTCATTATCGAGAATTATTTTTACCTCCAGAAAATGCTAACATGATATTTTGTCTTAGAATAGTGGTGTAAGGATGTCCGTTGCCTCTATCCTAAGCTGATACCTGCCCAGGCAACAGAAAGGAGCTTCAGCCAAAAAACCCCAAAGAACTGCAGATGTTAGAAATCAGTAATGAAATCAGAAGTTGCTGGAAAATCTCAGCAGGTCTAGTAGCATCTCTGGAGATAAAGCACAGTTAACTTTTTGGGTCCAATGACTCTTCTTCAAAACTTCTGCCAAGCTGCCCATTATGTAACAGACCTCTGCTGCATTTTCTACCTTGTCTGCTGAACTAAAAATTAGGTGATAATAAAGGGAAGCTCCAAACTTAAGCCAATAGAAGTGATCCAGCTTATGAAATAATATAAAGTAACTATTATCTAAAGGAACAAAACAGTTTTTTTTAATTTAATTCTGCAAAAATGGGAAGTTCATTCTGATGTATATCAAAGTAATTCTCTGGCAGCAAAGACATTATCACATTGGAAAATTATGGATGCTTGACCATATTCTGTCCGAAACATTATGTCCTCAATGCCAAAAATTTTCTGGTATTTGTTGGTGACAGGTGAGGTTCCCTTTTGTTAGCCCCTACTGGAAAATCACCTCGATCAAAATCAAGTAAATGATTTACTTTGAAATATGTACAAAGGTGCATGAAGCCCTTGCACAACTTCAAAAACAAACACATCAAGATTGATGTTTATAGATCGTCCAAATCATTCTGCTGAAAGGATAAGGTACATATGTCTCAGTGAATAACTCAACAGGTTGATCAGTTACAGAATTGATTTCCAATTAGGCCAGGGGTTATAACTGTGCTATGAAAGTATGGTTTGTGGAGATTAGTCACAAAATTATCTTTGGAAAGTACAAAATTATAAATTTACAGACCTCAGCCAAAGGTAAAACTGCTTTGTCATTCCCTGTTTTATTCATTGGTAAAGGTACGACAAAGATGAATTAATTCAGAAGTTTTGCATATTGTAATCAAACTTTGCAATTGGACGTTCAATTTGAAACCTGGTATTACAGAGTGGAATACGTAGCCATGGGCCCCAGTTCAGTGAGAATCTCCTTTCATGAAGACTTGCTAAGGTCATGGTATTGCATGCATTAGCCCATAGGCTATCAGAACTAGCTTCATACTAATGTCTAAATTATACAAAATAAGTTTCATGCTAAACTTCGGATTCATATAGAAAGTTCTGCCAATGGCAGCTCTTCCATATAAACCGATTAGTACATAGGTTTTCTTATAGAAGTTGGGCTCTGAAAGTTGGAGGACTCTTTCAGGATTCCTCAGTAGTGTGTTGGAATCCATATATTTCTGCCAGTTTTGGCTAAATCAAAAATGAGCATTGCAAATCAAGGTGTCCTGGCCTGCTGCTCCATGGTGTGGCTGAATGATTCATCTGCTGCTCCAGAAATCGTTCCTTACTTTCTCCATCCTCTCAATCACTCTAGCTGCCCTCTTTTGTAAACTTTCGCTCATTGCAACATCATTTTGTACAGCAGTACTGTCTGAATGGACATCAAAGTCATTGTGAGTAATCAGTATAGACTTACTACCATATTGCAAGAGATACAACATTTTAGTG